ACACAGACACACACACACAACACGCACACAGAGATACACACAGAGACACACACACATAACACACAGACACACACAGACACACACAGACACACACACAGACACACACATAACACGCACACACACATAACACTCACACACACAGAGGACACAGACACACACACACAGAGACACACACACACAGAGAGACACACACACACAAACACACACACCAAACACACACAACACGCACACACACACAAACACACACGCACACACAACACACACACACATAACACGCACACAAACACACACACATAAACACACACACACACACACACACACACACACACAATGACCAAGGCTGAAGAGCAGGGGCTTTGGAGGGAGCGATAACTGGGGCAAGGGCAACAGAGGGGTCTCACTTAGGGAGTTTGGATGAGAAATTTGAAAAGGGAGGCGTTGGGGAAAAATGGAGTTACACCTGATGAGAAAAAGTGGGCAGGTTGTGAAGGCCAGAGAGCCTTTGAAAGCCTATCGTGAGACTGAATCATTAGGTTTGAGACGTCAGGCCTGGGAATTTGTATTTTTAAAGCTCTTCCAGGTGATTCTGATTCTCAGCCAAGTTTGAGACCCTCTATATGCTCAATAGCCAGCAGTAGCTGGCACAGAGTAGGTGCACAACAAATACTCACTTGAACTGGATCTAATTCCAAGTGTGTGTTGGGAGTGTTCTGAGATTTCTAAATCGAGTTGTCCATATCCTCATTTATTTCGTAAAACTCAGTCCTAAACCACTAGTTAACAGATGAATAACGTGCTCTCAAGCAGAAATTGAATTCTTCAAATAGAATAGGACGTTCTCTCAACGTCCAAGATTACAGAGATGAAAACCCGGCTCTTACCAAATAAGTTGTATTAGTCACGAGGTACAGATTCCTGAAAACAACACAATAGAAAATCCCCTTTCGTCTTGTCTCTGAGATTCTACTTGGCTCCTTCCTGTCTGCACATGTATGCACGCCACTGCATGTTCCACATTAGAAAATAATTAGAAGCAAACAGCTGTTAGTTAAGCAAGCCACATTTTGCCTACATTTTTCCAGAGTTCAACCCATTGCCCTGGGGGGAGGGGTGGCTTATCTAAAGAATCTCACCACGTTAAACACGTCAAACCGAAATGGAAATGCACCGCGATTAGTCTGAGCGTGAGGTAGGTCTGCGGAGCAGAGACCACTAATAAGAAAGTTTCCCTCCACTGTTTAAAATGGTTATTGCTTTTGATTTCGTGGCAGAAAGTCTGCTCTAAAATTAGCAAATATCTCAGCGAATGATGAGTGTTATTTTTGTTGTCACTGGAAGAAGGGTAAAGCTGTGTGTGTGTGTGTGTGTGTGTGTGTGTGTGTGTATGGGGTGGTGATGAGAGCTGGTTCTTATAGTGAATCTTTTGCTGAGTCCTTGGACTTGGCATAGTTCTGTCTGCAGCACAGAACTAGAGGCCGTAGACCTGAGATGCAGCCTTGGGTTCCAGACCTGGGTAGAGCAAGCACTCTACCATCTCAGTTTTCCATGGCAGGAAACGAGGGAATGGGGACAGATTATGTCAGTCTTTTTAGCTACGATTTCCTAGTGCTCTCTGATAACTGGCTTAGTGTAGATGCTTATGGGCAAGACCACAGAGCAAGGGTGTTGGATGAATCACATGAATTCAAAGATACCTGCACCCAAGAGGAAGAGAAAAGAGGACTTTAGGAAGTATTAACTGCCTCCTATGACTTAAATTTTCCAATAAGTCAAAGAGCGTTTTAGTTGAGCTCTGGAGCTGTGAGGGGCGGGGCGGGGGGAAGAGGGATGCTGGAGAAATAAGGCATTTTGCTCACAGCCAGGAAGAGTGAGTATCAGATCTATGGCCAACACAGTCCACTAGCGTGTCCTGATACACCAGCACCTAGCTTGAATAAAGGGAGATGGGCTTATGTTATGGCAAGAGGAACAGAGATTAGGCATTAAGGAGAATCCTGCCATTGTTGTTAGACTATGGAATTTCCTACCAGTGAAGTTACCAGATGTTACTGTAATTTATAATGATCCTCTGGGGTTACTGCCCAAGTCACTTTCTCCTAGCCCACTCTCATTCCACCACTTTGCCACGGTGATTTAAAAAAGCCCAGCTCCCATTCCTGGGCGTATATGCAGAAAAGACAAAAACATAACATGCACCCCAATGTTCATAGCAGCACTATTTACAATAGCCAAGACACGGAAGCAACCTAAATGTCCATCAACAGATGAATGGATAAAGAAGATGTGGTATACATATACAATGGAATATTACTCAGCTGTAAAAAAGAATGAAATAATAGCATTTGCAGCAACATGGATGGACTTAGAGATTGTCATACTAAGTGAAGTAAGTCAGACAGAGAAAGACAAATGCCATATGCTATCACTTATATGTTGAATCTAAAAAAATTATACAAATGAGCGTATTTATAAAACAGAAACAGACTCACAGACATAGAAAACAAACTTATGGTTACCAAAAGGGAAAGGAGGCAGGGAGGGATAAATTAGGAGTTTTAGATTAACAGATACAAACTACTATATATAAAATAGATAACCAACAAGGACCTACTGTATAGCACAGGGAACTACACTCAATATTTTGTAACAACCTATAATGGAAAAGAATCTGAAAAAGAGTATATATAGATACATGAAACTGAATCACTGTGCTGTACACCTGAAAACTAATAAAACATTGTAAATCAACTCTACTTCCATTAAAAAAGCCCAGCTCTCACCTTGATATTGTGGAAGTTGAGAAAGTACACACTTATACTTTCAAGTCCATGATTATAGAAATTTGTTTCTTTGTGATAAGCTGGATTTTGGTTTGATATTTTATCATACCAAAAGATTCTGATTCTTCCTATGTAAGTGTTTTAGGAGGAGTGAGGATGGGTTTTTGAGTAAGAAGAGGCACACCTTGATCGGAGAATACCACTTCCGGGGGGACGAGGGCCTGCGCATGTTGTTGTTGAGATTTCGGGGTTCTGGGAATTCGTACTCCTGCTCTGGCATCTTGACTCTTGCATTCTTTGCCTTCTCCAACTTAGCACCTTCTTCTGTGGAGCCCTTTTCTCCCCAACGAACCTAAAATAAACAACATACAAAAAAACCCAAAGGACAAAATAAAATCTGACGGCTCTGGAGAACGAGAATCACAAATAACTGTATGATGTGCTACCCAGTCCTCATTTCCTTTGGGTTTTGAGGGTCAGGGAAGAGCGGTGGTATGGAAAAAGGGAAAGGGGGAGGGCTAAAGGAGCAGAGAAAGGCAGCGAGGGGCATGGATATTTGGGGGAGGAACTGTCCAGGCTGTGGGGACAGTACGTGCAAAGGCATTGTGGGCCCAGGCGAGAACTTTGGATTTTATTCCAGTGAGAGAAGAAACCACTGCGGGTGGGGTTGAGCCAATGCGCGAATCGCTCTGACTCACAGTGGGCAAGATACAGGAGTGACAGGTAAAAGGCTGTACCCGCCATCTCTCCATCTGATGCCTCACAGTCCACATCCTCATTAGACCTCAGGTGTGAGTTTTCACCAATTTGCTTTGGTTTTCCGTCCCTGAGTAGTCAGCACATAGATATGAGTACAAGAAGCTGTCCTCTTACCTCCATCCTTTTAATGCCTCCAACTCCTCGCCCACCATAATAAGAGGCATCTACCGTAGGCCACTTTTTCTTAGGCAGACCATCGTCATCTTCTTCCTGCAGAGAGATTGTGACACATGAAGGAAGCAAAGCACCATTGCTGTATGTATGTGTCCACTGTCGCAGAGTGGATAGGGGTAGACTGCCTGGGTTAAATCCCAGTGCTACCGCTTCCTGGGGCCCTGGGAAATCACTTAACCTACCTAAGCTTATTTTTCTTACCTGTAAAGTGGGAATAAAGAGCAGCACGACGTGGTTAGACTGTGGTGTATTCTTGGGACCTGTTCTCTTCTGCATCTCTACTCCTTGATAGGGTATCTCATCTAATCCCATCTACATGTTAATGACCTGTCAATTTACATCTTCATCCCTGACTACTCTGAACTCCGTTGACACGGACATCTCCTCCTGGGGGACTAATCAACATCTCAACCATACCGCATCCCAGACATAGACAATGGACTTCAGGACACGGGGAGTGGGGAGGGGGAGCTGGGACAAAGTGAGAGAGTAGCACTGACATATACACACTACTAAATGTGAAACATTGTATATATGTGCCACATCTTCTTTATCCATTCATCCGATGATGGACACTTAGGTTGTGGCACATATATACAATGGAATATTACTCAGCCATAAAAAAGAAACGAAATTGAGCTATTTGTAAAGAGGTGGATAGACCTAGAGTCTGTCATACAGAGTGAAGTAAGTCAGAAAGAGAAAGACAAATCCCGTATGCTAACACATATATATGGAATTTAAGAAAAAAAAATGTCACGGAGAACCTAGGGGTAAGATAGGGATAAAGACACAGACCTATTAGAGAATGGACTTGAGGATATGGGGAGGGGGAAGGGTAAGCTGTGACAGAGCGAGAGAGAGGCATGGACATATATACACTACCAAACATAAAATAGATAGCTAGTGGGAAGCAGCCGCATAGCACAGGGAGATCAGCTCGGTGCTTTGTGACCACCTGGAGGGGTGGGATAGGGAGGGTGGGAGGGAGACGCAAGAGGGAGGAGATATGGGGATATATGTATACGTACAGTTGATTCACTATGTTATACAGCAGAAACTAACACACCATTGTAAAGCAATTATACTCCACTAAAGAGGTTAAAACAAAACAAAGCAATACCGAATCAAAAAGAAGTCCTGATTTCCCCACTTCAGACCTGCTCCTCCCACAGTCTTCCCCCCTGCCTAGGAGTCACTCTTGAATTCTCTCTCCCCCACTGCCCCTCTCCCACCCCATCTCAATTTCCCAGCGAGCTCTGTTGACCCTACTTCTAAAAGATTCCGAATGTGTGACTTCTCCAACTGTACCTCCATCACCACCTCCACCACCTTGGTCTCAAGGCCCCATAAGCTTTCTCCTAGATACTGAGGTAGTCTCCTAACTGACCTTCCTGCTGCCCTCTTACCTACGATCCGTGCTCCACAAAGCAGCAGAATAAATTTCAAACCCCGACTCTGCCCTGCGAGCTCTGGCCTTTGCTCACCTCTCCAGCCTTCTTCCTTACCACGCTCCCCTTCTCTCTGGCCCTCAAACATTCTGCGTGCATCCCTGTCTCGGGGACTGTGCACAGTCCCTTGTCCAGGAATGGCTTTTCCCCTGGTCTTTTCATGGTTGCATCCTTCTTATCACTCCACAGAGAGGCCTTCCCTGGACATCCTTCTCAAGTAGTCCCACTCTCTTCGTCCCATCAATCTGTTTTATTTTTATTTTTAGCTCTTACCATGGCTTGCTATTTATTTATTGTCTGTCTCTGCACACCGGGATGTAAGTTCCAAGGAAACTTCTGGTTATTTGTCGTATTTACTATTCTCTTCTCAGCTTTTAGAACAGCATCTAGTACGTGGTAGATGCCCAAGAATCATCTGCTGAATTTACAAATAAACTAAATGAGATGATTCAAATAAAGCAGTAAACTCAGTGCCTGCAACTTAGCTCAGAGACAGGAAGCTAGCACTGATTATATTTTTCAAAATGAAGGAGCTTGTAAGTTTACGGATGGAAAAGGGAAGGATAATCAGCAAAACTGTTCCTCATCTTGGCACTGTGATTATTCCTGTTGTGGGGAGAAAAACTCACCATCTACGGTCCTGGATGGGCTATAAGGTGGTGTGTAATTTCCCTCCTGGGTAGGGAAAGGAAGCTAAAAAAGGGGTCAGCAAAGCAGCAGGATGAGCTCAGAACAAGCGGGCCTCCTACAGACTTGTGTTGGAGGCATCTGTGGAGGCAGTGGAGTCCCATGCGGGGCCGTCACTGTATGGAAAGGGGCATCCCATGCATGGGGCAGGGTATAAAGCACGGGTCGGCAGAAGAGAGATCAGAGCCAGAGGTGACAAAGCAAAACAGTAACACGTAACACATTAAGACTCCCAGGGTGACCTGCTGTGCTTGCAATAGGCAGGCTTCTTTTTAAAAATTCAAAAAAAGCATGAATACATAGTGATCACCGCTGACCAGAGGACTTGCGACATTCTGGCAGGTGAGCAGAATGGGTCAGTCTCTCTCTGTGTCTCTCTCTCTCTTCAACGTATACGTCCTTCTTGGACGTGGGACTGTGTGCCCTGAAGGCACAGTGGATTCTGTTGACCCTTATATTTTAAATCTTGCACAGAGCCTGGTGTACAGTAGGTGCTCAATATTTGCAAGTATTGAATTCACGATAACCACAGCTGGATTTACGTACCCTTGACCGTGTATGTGCCGGTCACTCTTCTGGGCATTTGATGTGTATCAATATTAAACCAGTTAGCTCATCTTTAATCTTTCAAACCTACATGTTGTCAGATAAATTTAATGGGTAAGACAAAGCTCTTAAGATGTATTTGGATCCCTTACAATAGAGATCTGATAATTAAGGGACCTGGGAAGAAAAGGCCCAACAGACAAGAAATTGTCTCAAAGATTTTATCCCGTTTTCGTATTTCTAATAAAATTTGGTTTCCAGAGATGAAAAATAAATAAAATAAACCAGTTAGCTCACAAATAGCCACTGAGGTAGTTGGTGCTATTACACCCATTCTACAGAGAAGGAATAGAGAGATTAAGTGACTGAGTCACCAGCTGGAATGCGGTGGAGATGGATTTGAGCCCAGGCAGCTACACTCTTGTTTGATTATTTCTCAGTGTTGACAAAATTCAAGGTTTTGCCCTTTTTTGTTTTGCTTTTCCAACCATTTGATGCTTTCAAATAAATGCTAGTTTTCTACTTCTCAACCCTTGTAGCTGCTAATTTTGAACACTTCTGACTATAAAACATGGCAAAATAATAAATAAAAACAAGCAAAAGCAAAAAAAAAAAAAAAAAAAAAAAAAAAACAAGAAGGGAAAAACTATAGCTCGCAGTACTTTACCTTATGATATAATTTCAGAAAGCTTCTGATGATGATGTCAACCAGGAACTTTATATGGTTAAACTTTACCACCAGAGTGTGTCTGTGTGTCATACATGAAACATGGCTTCAAAAAGCCTGGGCATGCCTGGTCTAGTGCCTTGTTCAAAGGACTTAACTGAAATTAAGTCACCCTAAACGGAACATACCACCAAGAATGTAAGAAACTCCAAGAATACAGCTGCTCTTATTCATTAGGGGGCTGAAAAGGTCTTATGAGTCTCCTAATTTCTTAAATGACAGGAGCACAAACATTACAGACCATCTAATTGAGCCTTTTCATTGCACAGAAGAGGATAGTCAGATCCAGAAAAACGAAGAGAAGTTCCGATCTGGCTTGCTGATGCCTCGTCCGGGATTCCCCCTATATTTGCACACGGAGCGCCCTCCCGCTCATCTCTTCCCGCCCCAGGGGCTCTACTTCTCCGCGGTGCCTGGGTACCCAGGCTGGGCCGGCTTTCTGCGCATGTGCAGGGCCCACATCCCACACGGGAAATGCCGAGACTGCAGACCGCTCCACGCGTTCCTGATACACCAAGCCTGCCTTTAATCCCCTGACCCGAGCTTGCCTGCCAAACTCAAACAACAACAGCAAAAGACAACACAGAGGCCCAGGGTTTGACCAAAGGGAGAGTCAGAATTTCCCTGCAGTTACCATGGCTCTGTTTACACATTCTAGAGACGGGAGGGTTTTGCAATCTTCAGAAGAGAAGGGAATCTTTGATGTGTTTTTTTCATTTGGCCAAAAATTGATGGAGTAAAATCATAGTCCCCAGCAATTCCACTAACAGAATTGGCAGCACCTGAGGTGAATTTCTACCTCTAATCAAGTATGAGGGCTTTGGCGGAAGTCCCCCTCAAACTGCCCTTTAAGGATGTCGCAGGGAGGGGAAAAACCACCAGTATGATAAATGGAGGACAGACTGGATGAGCTGAATTGCTTTGTGTTAGCAAAGCCGTAGGAATCAGGGGTTTGTGGGTGGTTAGCAGAAGAGTGGAACTGAGCTCCAGAAAACTACCAGCCCCTGCCCTGCCCCCACCCCCACCCCCCGAGACGGCCAGGAGAACCGTCCAGGAGTGGAATGAAGGGGCTTTTTAACAGTCTGTCGGAAGTTGTTAATTGGCTGCACTGTGCTGTAACCCACTCATACTTTTAAACCTTCAGTAACACTCCCTATGCAGACGGCTTTGTGCCCGTGGTGCCTTTGGGGGATGGAGGGATCTGGTTTGTCAGATGGTATCTATCTCCTTCTGAGAGGAGATAACACAGAAGCAGCCAGAAATGGAGTCAGTGGTGCCTGGAGAAACCTCAGAGATTAGGGAGGGATGCTGGTTTCCCATCAGGGGAGGTTGTGTTTAAATTTTAAAGGATGTGGTGGCCCCAGACATCCAGTTGTCTGATGTTTGGGTAACACAAGTGGCAGCACGTGATCCAGACAGGGAGGCCCATTCTGACCTGCTTGTCCTCAGGCAGACCTGCTCTAGGAGGAAAAAAGCTATAAAATATGAAGTCTGATGCACACGTTTGGTTGGCCCGTAACTGGATTAGTCCTGTGCTGCTGTCACACACTGAAACTTTCCATCTTTCTAATCATGCCAGGCTTTTGTATAGCCCCATGCTTCAACATTCACAGCTCCATAAGCTCGGGACAAACTTCTCCCACTTCTTCTGCCTGCCTTTTAAGCTATTGCTCGAATTTAACCTATTCTGTGAAGAACTCCCTGATTCCCCAGAGGATTCAATGCTCCCTTCTTGTATGTGCCATGGTTCCTTGTATTGACCTTCACTCACTCAACAGATATTTAACAGTTAGTTAGTTATTAAGCAAACCAGCAAGGAGAAGGGGTGAGATCACTGATCCTGGGGTTGCCTCACTCCTCCTTATAGGCCATGATGTGAATAGCGCCCCCTGGAGCTGTGATGTGGTGGCCCTCTGAGACTCAGTCTACAAGTTCTTTAACATTCCTGCTTCTCTGACATCCATTTGGCAGGAGAGACAGATGGCTAGTTTGACCCAAATAGGCTCTCAATCTCCAATTCACTATGGGTACCAGTGGGAACTACCTATGGAAAGGAGAACATAACTGAAACGGAATGGAGCCCAAGGAAACAGTTTTAAATCAGACTTTGAATTCATTAAAAAGGTCACTGAACTGTAACACATCTTAAACCCTTAGGATAAACCCTATGTAGCCCCAAACAATGTATTTGTCCGTTCCTTCCTTCACTCGCTCAAGCAACTGTAGTTGTGCCCCACTGCACAGTGTTCTAGTTTGAGAAAAACAGGGAGAATGCAGCTGTCAACAAGATCGTTTACATTTACAGAGGGGTAAGTTTTGTGAGGGTGACGACATGAAACAAAGGATTAAGGCTACAGAAACTCCCAGGCCCAAGAGGCTCTGGAGGGGAGGGCAGACCTCAAGTAGATCTGGCTGTACTGTCTCATCTGAAGTCTTTGGGGATAAGCCAGAGAGGTCACCTTCACTGTCAGTCAGCCTTGGAGATGAATTCCTAGGAGTGAACTGGCGAGTCCGAAAAATTCATCAACACTTCTGTTTGTAAATACCAGAAAATTCCAACTGACTTAACTATATGTTTTGGTACCATCATATCTGTTCACACACACACAGTGATTAACACAGTGACTGTCTTGTGTTCTTCAATAAAGAATTGTGTGTATATTTTTTAAAGCAATGTTCCATTTTATTTATTTCATTTTATTTTTTAAATACTTATCCTTACTATGTGTACCTATATGGTGTTTTACATTTTATCTATTTCATTTTTTAATTTATTATTTATTTATTTATTTATTTATTTTTGTGGTATGCGGGCCTCTCACTGCTGTGGCCTCTCCCATTGCGGAGCACAGGCTCCGGACGCGCACGCCCAGCAGCCATGGCTCACGGGCCCAGCCGCTCCGCAGCATGTGGGATCTTCCCGGGCCGGGACACGAACCCGTGTCCCCTGCATCAGCAGGCGGACTCTCAACCACTGCGCCACCAGAGAAGCCCCAGTACTTATTGTTAATTGGATGCCCACCCAGTGTCATTTCCTTCAGTACACAACCCTCTCTCTCTCAAACGGTCAGAAAATCCATGGAAGGTGAGGACGTTTAGAACTAAATCAGCAGATGAAGTACTGCATTATTGATTCTCCCATAAACTGCCAATTGTTTGGAATAACTAGAGACTTAGTGAGGAATCCTCACTCGATTGCCAATTAGAGAAGACCCTTAACCCAGGAAATGCCCTTCTTGGTTGTGAAAATTGAGCTTCCTTGTTTTTGGGGAGAGCTTGAAATTTCAAGTAATTTTTCCTTGTCCTGTCTTTATGTACAGAAACATTACTGTTGGTTGCACGAAATCTCAAAAAGTCATGCCTTTTCATATTACGCATTTTGATATTCCCTAATAAAGAGGAGACCACTGAGAGCTCATTATAAAGTTGTGTCCATTGTCTAAGTTTATTCATTTTTTAGTAGATTTACCTCCCTTAGGATATGATGCTTACAGAGCTGATGAAAGTTTGGATAATTGATGCTTGTTCATATACATGGCAGAGATTATTTAACCTCATTTGGCTAATGATTGAATGTTAGATACTGTATTAAGCTCTTTGGGGAATATGTCAAAGATTAATTAGATATAGATCCTGACCTTCAAGTATAGCTAATGCTCTTAAACTTTGATGCAGAAGGAAAAGTTTAATAAATAAATACCCTGGGAATGTGCAGAAGGTAGAAATTAGCTCTGGTGGAAGGAATTACAGCCTAGGAGCTGTGCTGGAAAGGCTGGTGGGATTTGAACACACAGGGAGGTGCAGTGGAGAAGGTTGTCTAGATTCAGGCTATGATTTTTAGGGCCTTGTATAAAATACTTTTATGGGCTGAGTTATGTCATCGTTTCTGTGGGATTTCTTTATTTTTTATTTTTTTCTGCCAAAACACATTAGGAAGGAGATTAAGCCTGCTTAATTCACAGGGCCAAGGAACGATCAGGGCCAGCACGCATGCCCAGGTAATCAGCACAGCCTGCAGCCCGCCCCGGCCAGCCCGGAAACTCCTATAGGTCTAACAGAACCTTGTAGGTCTCCAGTGTCCCCAGGTTGTCCTTCTGTTTCAGAAATCAGGTCTGCCTTCTTGAGGTGAAAGTGTGACTTCCGTAAGAATAGTGGATGAAACTGGAAAAATTCAACTACCTCTTTTCTCTTGCTTTTAGCTATTCTTTCTTGGTGGTTTTCTGGCTTGGGCTTTTTTTTTTCCTCCAAAATTGTATCGTTGGCTATCAGACTTCATTCTACAAATACTTATTGAGCTTGTTTTGTGTGTGGAGTCCTAGGCTAGATGCTGGGGCCTGGGGTCAACCACACCCCACAGTCTTGGACCTAAGTCTCCTGGCGTATTTTGGCCATGGTGGCTACCACATCACATCACCTTCCAAAGGCAAATGCAGAGCCAGCAACAGAAAAGGGCAATAACTCCGCTAATTGAACATAATGAGTGAAGGGAACATTCTTCACCTCAGGGCAAACAGAGCAACCTCAGCGAGAGCTTCTTGCCCTATTTTTCTCTGGGAGTATAAGACACAGCTGCACACAACAGAACCACAGCCAAGCTGGAACCCGGGGAACTAGCCACGGTGCTTTCTCTTGAAGGATTAAGAAAAGGCTTTTGTGGATGTCAGGAGAGTTTTTTTTTCCTCCCTCCTCTGTGCACAGAAATGTAATTTCCTCCTCTGATTTCTGGGCAGAAAGTTAGCATTCCAACAAGATGCGCTTTAATTGATTGCAGTTATTAAATCCCTTAGCTTACAAGCTTAGAATTCAGGATATAAGAGCCACATGGAATTTTAAATGTAATCCTTATTATTATTTTTTTTTCTGTATGTAGGCAACTTGACAAAGGCATTGGGAAGACGAGTGGTGAGGGGGTGTTGCTCGCCTTGCAACAACAGACCTTACGGATTAAGGACAATGAACTTGAAACCTCACCAATATATCTTCTGATCCCACTAAGTTTGCAGACCTGGACTCTGGCTTCTAAATTGGTTAGTGTTGCATTGAGGGAGGCCAGCTAACCCAGGAGTAATCGGAGGATCAGGAAAAGCACTGGGCAGGCACTGCTGCCCAGGGATTCTCCTTCTCACCATTAGCCTTTAACGCCTCCAGGCCACACATGCACCAGACCTGCTTGTTGGACAACTTACGGTGGCATTTAAGTCATTTTTCTTCCTTTAAATGATGAGGGTCTAATGTCCTATGCAAGGCTGGCATACTAGCATATCCCCCTCCACTGTATTTTCTTTACTGCCTGGCAAACTTCAGCACCATCTGTTTCTAGAACCGCTGATTGTTTGGACGATGTGGCAAATTCACTCTGATCTACGCATATAAAGCATAAGTCTCTGCAGGGAGAAGAGATCCATCAGGTGTCTGTATTACAGGAAAAATCAGTACCTTGGGGCTCCAAATAATTGTACGTATAAAACTACTTATGTTTGCATTTCAAATTTTTCTTGCAAGGAGAAAACCTTCCAAAAACTATTCTGCCTCGGGCTGCCAGTTCACTTCAGTTCCTGTTCATCCTTGGTTAGGAAAGAGCCAGAGACCTACCTCCCTCTTTGCTGCTTTGCACTCAGTGGGAGTCTGGGCTTGACTTAGCTCTGCTTTGCAGAGGCCTGAGTCTCGGGCTGCCCAGTGAGCTCTCTGCCCCACTCCACCATCCTGTCCACCTGGTCACTCACCTCACTTTCCTCAGCAGGGGGTGGAGGGAGCTCCTTGATAATCTGAAAAGAAAAAAAAAGAACAAGTCAGTAGAAATCTCCAGCCACCTGCTTTCCAAGAGCCCTTGCTCTCAAGAGGTACCTGGTGGTGCGGCCATAATTACCATAGTAATGGGCCCAAGCAAGGCAGGTGTCTTTCTGGGCAGAATAGCTCAGTTAGTTAGAGCATGACCCAGGCAGAGAGTTCCACACTCAATTGTGTCTGCTGTAGTTTTTTTTTTTTTTTGCGGTACGCGGGCCTCTCACTGCTGTGGCCTCTCCCATTGCGGAGCACAGGCTCCGGACGTGCAGGCTCAGCGGCCATGGCTCACGGGCCCAGCCGCTCCACGGCATGTGGGATCTTCCTGGACCGGGGCACGAACCCGTGTCCCCTGCATCGGCAGGCGGACTCTCAACCACTGTGCCACCAGGGAAGCCCCTCTGCTGTAGTTTTGTATAGAGAAAAAAACGTTCCACGGGTAAAAGTTTCATCTTTTACCCCAGGGAGCTATCCTGCAAATTTATTCACTCATTTCTTCATCTGGTCATTCCTGCATCAAATCATTCACCCACCCACCCAAACAGCTGCACATTTAACAAAGAATGGTCCAGAACAGAAGTTAAGATAGTGCTACAGAGATAAGTCAGGTATGGACCACACTCAAACTGTTGGCAATCCCATTAACTGTCACTGGCCCCAGGTGGTACCCATGGAGGGAGGATGTGACGGTCAGGCTGACGGATTCCCAACAAAGGGCAGCAAAGAAGGGGTAACTGGGGATTCCTTTCAGGGCCCTGAAATTTAAGAGGCACAAAGATTTACATAACAATATTCTAAGACTGGACTCTGCAAATACCCCATCATCAGGGTTAAAGAGAGACCTGTGGTCACTCTGGGAAGGCAAGCAATTGTGAGCCCCTTCTAGCCAATGAGAGGATGGGTGACATACGGAGAAGCATGGGAAGGACAAAAGAAGGGTGGCGGTAAGTAGCCTGTCCCCACTTTTGTCTCCACCTTGCACACCCCATTCATAAAAGGGAAGCTTTTGTACCCTTGCAGTTAATTTGATTTAGAGTCTTTTCCAAGGCAATTTGGCCGTTATCCACTCTGACTGCACCATGTCTCCCTCCTCTCATACCCCAAGCTTATTATCAGAATGTTGGGTCCCCTACCTGCAGTCTTTTTCCTTAGAAAATTCTGGTAAATACAAAAGTCATTAAATATCTTTTGATGTCTTAGCGTCAGGGCTGACCTGGACCACTTTATGGATGGATGCTTGAGCACTGTCCATGGGACCAGTTCCTTAATGTAGTGGGAGGGCTCTCCCGGCTGCAGGGCAGGCCGCCTACTAGGCAGCTCTTCCTCACTTCTGCCCCCTACTAAGTCCATATCACCTTTGATTTGATGATTATTCTGGGACCTCATTTGGGCTCTGATCCCCACTGCTGTCACCCATGCCATCACTATCTGTAATGTCATCTCTGTATGTTAAGACAGGCTACTGACTTGAGGCTCTACTAACATCAGCCAGGGGACTGAGCCTCCAGTCACCTAAAAGGATAGGACTCAATTAATTAAGAGGCAGAGGCTATCATTTCAATTTATTTATGAATTTTATAAATAAATATTTTTTGGCTGCACCGTGCGTCATGGAGGGTCTCAGTTCCCCGGCCAGGGATCGAACTCGCAACCCCTGCACTAGAAGCGCAGAGTCTTAACCCCTGGACCGCCAGGGAAGCCCCGAGGCTATCATTTCAAACTCTCATTTCATCTGCCTCCACTTCCTGGCCATCGTGGGAAACCTGCTGAAGGTCTTTGGAAAGCATGAAGCCATGATTTTGCTCACCCACTCAACACTGGCTCCAAATTCCTTAAAAACAGTCTCTGAGGAGGGTCATTACTGCCCAGTGCTGATTTCCCATCATCCCAGAGGCAGTGATGATTTTCAAACAGGAAATGCCTGGAGACTGGAGGGAGGGGTGAGGAGCTGGGGACAGCGATCTGGAATGCATCTCTTCTCTCAGGGCGGGATTAAGGAAGGGAGCGAGAGGAGAGCAGGATACTTAGGAACACAGACAGATGTTGACAAGATTGCTGTAGGCAGTGTATTTGCTAAGTACCCTGGGTGTACAGAGACTTGGTGCGGAGCAGCTGGGGTTTTGTCTTCACAGTGCAACCGGCTTCCCCCCTTGCTGCATGGAAGCACTGTGTAGTTGTCAAATGTGAACCCCAGACCTGCCTTTTTTTGACTGTGACGATCCGACAAGTCCCTGAACCTCCTTGAGCTCCACTTCATCTCTTAAATGGGAGCAATAACACTAACCTTGCAGGCACTGAGTCACGATGAGCAATGATGTTTGCAAAACATCTGGAACAGAGCGGGTGCTCAATAGATGGTGAATACTATTACTATTCCCCTTTCCCTTTCTTGTAGTCACTGTCTTTTGCTTTTATTAAATCTTTAACAAAGGTTTCACTTAACTTGCCCTCCCTCCACATATACCAAATGAAAATCCAGTATATACTATGTATGGTGGTTTCCAGATGGTGCGGCCTAGAAGCCAGAGCTTCATAAAAAGGGTGAGACAGGAGGCTGGCGCTCAGATGGTGGCCAGAGGGCCTGACAGTGGCCAGGGTCTTCAGGGGGGGTCAGTAGGAGTCTGCTTCACCACATACGTGTAAGCACATGACACCAGCCAGGAAGTGCTGACATCAGCCAGGCAGCCACCACTCAGACCAACCCGTCTGTGGGTTGATGGCCAACGTGTCTTATCGGGTATTTATCGAATTCTGCATCCAACAGTGTCCCAAGGGGAACCCAAAAGGCAAAGCAAAACACATGATTTATTAAGTATTAATCAAAGGCGGACTAATTCATCATCTAGATGCCAGGCTGACATACTTGTAAACTGGGCACCTGAGCTTCTGGAAAAATGCCACCATGTTCAGGTAGACGAAATTTAGGCACTTCCAATCTGGCCTTATCGGACGGGTGTCTGGCTCTATTCAGCGGGAATGAGGAAGAAGTCTTCCTATTGCTTCCAGTCCCTGCCCCCTCCTTCCCAGTCTGCTCCTGGGGGCAGGTGCAACTTGCCCAGGGAGTGGCAGGAGAGCGTCTCAAAGTGCGATCTGGGCAGGCTGGATGGGCTGTCTGTGAGTGAGCCAAACTCTCACGCCAAGACCAGTGCCTGGGCCACCCAATGGAGTGCTCTGAGCACAGGGACAGTCAGCCCTCCCCACTGCCCCCGCCGCCCCGCCAGGGCCCGAGCCCAGGTGGCCTGGAGGAGCAATTGGGCAACAACTTGCATTGGTCTTGAGCCTACAGCACCACTGCAGCCTCACAGGAGAAAATGCAAATTGCCTCAGCCCCCAAAAGGCCTGCATGACGTGCAGGCGTGGCCCCCCACCTCTCCACTTCACCCCCCTCCACCTCTCTCCCCTTCACTTTCTGCACTTCAGCCTCCTGTCACCTTCCTGTCCCTTCCACACACCCTGCTGCTTTACACTTGTAGCGTCTTCTGCCTAATTGCTTGCCAACCTCCCTGCTTTGTCTGCACACCTGCATGTACCCCAGTTAACACGTATTCATCGGCTAGATCACCTCCCCTGAGAAGTCGCCCAGGACCTCACAGAACAAGCAAGGTCCCCTCTATGGGGTCTCACATAACCCAGTGTTTTCTGTAGCATTTTTGAATGTAATTAAAAGTTAATTGCATAATTCTTGGCTTCCAACTAGTGTGATTAGACGGTCTTTATTGCCAACAAGGATGCAAGCTAGAAGCAACTGAACACTACAAAGCTTAGGTTGGATTTGAGCTACTTCCCTTCTTAGAAGGTTCTGGGAGCTTCCTCTTGGTTGTGGGTGGACTTGTCAGCTCCTTCCTCATTAGGAGGGACAAACAGAAGATGGATAAGGTTGAAGAGACCCTTAATGAAATGTTTAAGAGGAAAATCCCTCAACAAACATATTTGTAAGCATAACATGGCAGAACTGAATGGCAGTACCACGGATAACTCTGGGGACATTTTTTCATATTTCTCCTCCAGAGGCCAACATCACATCTCTACTTACTATCATTTTCAGGTTGGATATTTGGGATGAGTAGAAAGTGACCAGATGCCTTCTTGGGATAGCTGCCCTAGAGTCCCTTCTGCATTAATGGTTGGACTGGTGAAGTGAAAGCGCATAAGAAAAATGAGATGGGATAGAGAGCTTCTGAATTCTATTAGTGTTTCTTTGCTACCTGAGAATGTCTTGAAACTCTGTTGTGAATTGGGAGATGTGCCTCTTCTCCCTTATCAGTGACTTTAACTCTGATTTAGTCCGTGTTTGTTTAGGTAGATGTAGAGGTGGCCAGATTTGACAGAATCTGTTGTACGGGTCAAGGAAAGAAAGCTTGAAAAGACCAGGTGGAATCTTATTAAATTGAAATCTTACTGGCAACTTCTCACTGAGTCGAAACAAATTCAGGTTTTTAGGTACACCTCTTAGTTTGGCTGTTGGAAATGAAATGATAGAAAATGTGGAGATATAGTTAGCATGGGATGATTACAGTAGAAAGATCACATATGCCCAGGTCGTTTTTGACATCTGGGAACTTTACTGTGTTTTATGTCAAGTTCAACTGTTTAGGTCTCTGTAAATCTCTCTCTTAAAATTTATTTTATAAAATGTTAAGGTGAAATAAAGCACCTGGTAAGTTTATTTTGCTTGTTTTTTTCCCCTCCAGAAGTGTTCAAGATTTGCTCCTAATTTATGTTGGATCCTTGCACTTTGTTGCCCTTACATCTCTACTGCTATAGTACTGTGTAATGGAATGCAGAATGCAATCTACCTGTTTTTTTTTTTTGTGGTACACAGGCCCCTCACTGTTGTGGCCTCTCCCTTTGTGGAGCACAGGCTCCGGATGCGCAGGCTCAGCGGCCATGGCTCACGTGCCCAGCTGCTCCGCGGCATGTGGGATCTTCCCAGACCGGGGCACAAACCCGTGTCCCCTGCATCGGCAGGTGGACTCTCAACCAC